CTGTACCTCTGTCCATCTCCCCTCGGCTTCCCTGCCCTCTATCCTGCTCTGTGCTGCTCCCCATTGCTTGCCTACCCATCCACCTGCTGGCCACCTGCTCAGTGCAGGTCACGGGAGAGTGGGCCAACTCTTCTGTTTGCCAAGGCTGCTGGGCTGTGGCCACTAGCATACACAGGACAAGAATACAGAAATGTGCTTTTTAAAAACAAAGGATGAAAGGAGAAGAGAGATGGGCTGCAGGCTTGCTGCTCTCACGCTCTATTTTGCTCCACAGCTCTCCTCTGCGCTTGTCCCCCTGTCCCTGCTGCAGGAGAGAGCCTCCCTGGGGGCCTGAGACTGCATGGGCAGAAGGAAGGGCTCCCTGGGCCAGCCCTTCTTCACTTCATGACCTGCTGTGTCCTGTACTGTGTGCAGGGTCCTGAGCTGTGTGTTTCCTTGTCTCCCAGTGAATGCAGGCAGTGGGGTGAAGCACCAAGTTTAGCCTCCTGTAGTCAGCTGGATGATGACCACAGACCTCTGTGCCCACAGAGCACTGGCTCTTGATGACTGCACACTCCAGGCTACAGTGGAGTCAGGAGAAAGGTTTGACTGACAAGAGTTCTCTTCACAGCCTCAAGGATTTGCCTGTTTGCTTCAGGCCTCAGTCTCTCTGTTAAACATTCAGAATTTAGTATTCACAGGATTATCGAGTGGGCAGCTCAAGGAGGAGCCCAGGGAGGGGTGGAACTGAGAAGTATGTCCCCCTTGGCACCTGGTGAGAGTGGGGCATGACTGCCACAGCGCCAAATGCTTGCTCCTAACCTATGCACAAGGAAGTCCTTCGGGGGCTCAGCAGTACCTATGCAGCACCCTGCCAATGGCCTGGCTCCCTGGTTAGGGACCTCTGATGTCTGCTAAAGCTTGAAAACTTACAAGAAGCAGTAGAACAAGTGTGGCTTCTCTTGTTTCAAAGACATGGATCTTGGTTCCAGTTCCTTAGAACAAAGCCAGTCCATAGGACCTGTTGGTTCCCAGCACAGAGCCCATGTGAAGGCTTCCACCAGTGCCAGTACCAGGAAGGCTGGGATATGTAGCAGGCCCCCTGGGATATGTCAGGGATCGAACCCTGGTTCCCTGCATCTGCCGAAGCAGGCGCTTTAATCTGCTGAGCTATCTGGCTGGCCCTATAGCAGCCAGTTTCATGACCACTGATCTAAAGTCTTTACCTAGAACAGTTTTTTTTTTCTTGTAGAGAAATTATACCCATTCTCCCCCCCCCCAACACATGAACTGAGTCCCAGCTCTGGACCTGCCATTGGCTAAATGCTGGTGAGTGAAACAAGGCCTAGTCCTTCTGTGAGCAACTTGCAGCCTCCTCCTCCCTATGTCTTCCCAGAGGAGTGCTCAGACCCTTTCTAGATGTGACCAATTAAACATTTTCTGTCCCCCTAGGGCTCTGGAGAACCATGGCCCATTCCCCTGTCTGTGCTAAGTGGACACCTTTTTGAGACCAGCTGTGCCACCCACCTTGCCCCTGACTAAAAACCCACTTTCCTGCCTTATTCTAGTTCCTCTCTCTGATTGCTTAAATACTTCTGCAGGTAACACATGTGCCCTATTGGTACCGGCCAGAGGCACAGAGAAGAAAGCAAAAATCGTGTCTCCACTTCGAAATGCCTCAGTGGGGAGGAAGAGGCAAGATGTCTATAAGCAGCCACCACCTTGGGCTGGGTGGAGGTTGTGATATTTGGTCTTGTGCCTGGTTCTTGACATAGAGCTCTTAAAACCTCTGTAATTTCCTAAGTGGTAAGGGCTGCCTGGAATAGCTTTTGTTCCAGTGTTTGGTTGGTGCCTCTAGTTCCTGACACAGAGCTCCTAATTCCCTCGGAGTTTCCAAGGTGATAAAGTGTCTTTTGTTCCAATGAGGTGGTAGGTAGTGGGCTTTTAGACAGGGCCTGGCCAAGCCATAATTAAGAGCTTGGAGCACTCAGCTCTATACCCCATTCTAAAGAAGATGAGAATGCTGGGGCTTGAGTTCATAGTCAACCATGCCTGCATGATGAAATCTCCATAAAGATCTCAGAGGCATGGAGTCTGGAGAAGTTCAGGGTTGGTGAACACATTCATTCGCATGGCAAAGGGAAGCACATCCCAGCTCCAGAGGGACAGAAGCCCCTATTCTCAGAACACTTCCAGGCCTTGACCTAGGTATCTCTCATCTGGCTGTTCATCTAAATCCTTAATCACATCCTTCAATGTATATAAACCGGCGAATATACATAGATTATTTTTAGTACATGTTTCTTTGAGTTCTATGAGCCATCAGAAAATTCTCGAACCCGAGAAGGGAGTCATGGGAATTCCCAATTGCTAGCCATGCTGGGCAGAAATGTGAGTAACTTGGGGATCCACTGCTTGCAGTTGGTGTCTGAAGTAAGGGGACAGTCTTTTGGAATGGAGCCTTCAACTCGCGGGTCTGCACTCACAGTAGACAGTATTGTATTTGAGTGATAGGGTATGAAACTGATGTCCAGAGATTAGAATTGATTAGTATGAAGGAAGTCACCTAGATTTGGTGGCCAGGAGCATTATGGGTTAATTAACGGAAAATGAGCTTTTTCTCTACAGAGATCTCTGAGAGCATGGAGAAAGTGCCACATTGGAGGGGCAGCATCTTGGGAGGTGAATGGGATCTCATTGCTTTCCTGCTGGTGGTAGACAAGTGGGGCTATACTTGTATGCCCGTATGAAGGCCAACTGCTGTGAGAGGCCCTCCCCCGGCTTGTGTGTGACCTCTGGCCTCCATCTTTCCTATGAGGTCATATGTCACGGTCTCTAGTCCTCATCCCAGGACTTCCTCATCTTTCTGTGCAGTTTTCCAGCTGTCCTCTTCCAGCCACTCGGACCTGGAGTCCAGGACAACATGCCCCAGGGGATACACATAACACCCATCTGTGCCAGCCTGCAACTTTCTTGGTGCCTGCTAGTGACCTCCCTGAGGTCAAAGCACAGAGATTATGTTTGGGTATGGTCACTTCGGGAGCCCCGGCAGGACTTGGCACACGGGAAGTGCACTCAAGGCTCACTGCTGTGGAAGTCAAGAACCTAAGAGCACATATCTCTAAGTCGTGCCTGTGACTTGCTGTGAGACCTTGAGCTATCCACATTGAGTTACAATGGAGATTCTCAATCCCACTCCAGACATAAGCAATCAGAATTGCACATTCGCAAGGAGTCCAGACAATTCCTATGAACACTGCTATTTGGGAAAACTGCCTAGGAGCCTTTTTTTGTGCTACAAGTGCTATTGGTTAGGGCAGTAATGGTGATGAGTATGAAGTCAGTTCTCCCAGGCACCTCCTCTATCATACAAAGAGTTGGACCACATGGCCTTTGTGGAAAAGAATGTGAAAAGGCAGCTCAACTGCAAGTCAAGATTTCAGATAGGCTTGTTTGGTGTCTTGCTCAAATTCTTCTATGATAAGGCAATATTTATTATTATTATTATTATTATTATTATTATTATTTTTATTAAATTAATTATTTGGTACAGGGTAGCACTATACAGCTTGGACTCATAGTGATCTTCTTGTCTTAGCCTCAACACTGGGATTACAGGTGTGTGCCACCACATCCAGTTTCGGTGGCCAGATTGACACCTGGGGCCTGGGGCCAGAACAACTTGTGGTACTGGGGATCGAACCTGAATATGGGTCTTTGCACTTGCCCTGCAGGTGCTTAGACCACTGAGCTATCTCCCCAGCCCTCTAAGGCAATATTTAAAAGTTGGGAAATTTCTCATCAACATTTCAACTTTTAGCTTTGTTTGAAAAATCAAATGAGGTGAGAAAAAAAAAACAAAACCCATTCCATGTGACAACAATCAGCTTCCCTCTCTGATCTCTGAAATTTGTAACCTTGCCCCAAGTTTTTTGGTCACTAACACTTTGAAGATAAAAGTTCCATTCCCAGGAGGCTTATAAAACACCTGAAAAGATGCTCAGCTTTCTAATATTACAATTAAAAACTAAATATGCATGCCATTTTCTACCTCTCTAATTAGCAAATATAAAAGTTTGATAATGCACTGTGTTGATAAGGGTGGAGGAAAGAGGTCCCTCCTCTCCCTGTTGGGAAAGTAAGTTAGTACAATTCCTAAGAGGCCCAGTCCCATTATCTATCAAAATTGTCAGACACCACCTACCCCTTAACCAAAAAACACTGGTGCTAGGAATTTATCCCACAGGCACATGCATGGCATGAAATGTAACTCCAGTGCGCATGTTCAAGATCAGTCATGGGAGCACTGTTTGTAGGAGTGGCAGACTGGAACTAACCCAATTGCCCTCCAGTGAGGGACAGGCTGGAAAAAGCATAGGCCAGCCACGCAGTTGAGCCTTGTGTAATAAAGTCCTTGTTACATGTAAGTAGTGGCAAAGGACTTCCGAAATATATCATTAGCTGAACAAAGAAGGTAGAGAACAGTGTGCTGAGCCTAATGCCATTTGCATGGGGAGAGAGTACAGTATCAATGGAGAGATATACAAGGACCAGACAGCAGTGACCTTCTCTGAGGAAGGGACCTAGGAGGCCAGGGTACATGGGTAGGAGGAAGTCTACACTTTCAAGTCCTTTGAACTTGGAGCCATGTTGATGTGTTACCTACTCAGAGTTAAAAAACAAACAAACAACAACAACAACAACAACAACAACAACAAAAAACCCAGAGATTTTCAGAGATCCAGAGTGTTCCTAACACTAGAAACTCCAATGCTCTGCAATTTAATAAGCCTAACTTTTGATGAGTCCAGAGGTTCATCTTGTTGGAGGCCAAGCCTCTAGATCTATCTCTGAGTCTCTCCAAACCTGCTGCCCTGAGTCGGGCCATGGTAAGCCCTTGGAGGCTGGGCAGCTCCAAAGGAGGGTGCCCACCTCAGCCTGGCACAGCTGCATGAACTCTGACACCTCCCAGGATGCAGCCCTGGGTTCTCCCTCATTGCCTCCCCTCTCTGTCCTCTTAGGGGAGCCTTCTCCGTCGTGCGCAGGTGTGTGAAGGTGCTGGCTGGCCAGGAGTATGCTGCCAAGATCATAAACACCAAGAAGCTCTCAGCCAGAGGTAGGTGTCCGGTCCAGCTGGGCCTGCAGCCAGGCTCTTCTTCCCTCTTTCCCTCCCTCCCTCCCTCCCTCCCTCCTGCTTCTGGGATGAAGACCAGCACCTGAGTCTGCGCCCCTGGGGGATGCCAAGGATGGTTTCTGGCTTTTCTCCCTGAAGGCGTCATGAGATCAGACCTCCCTCGACCTCTTGGGGAAATCTAGGTTGGAGCCCACAGCCTCGCAGAGACTGGCCATGCTCTCTGCCCCTCTCTGCAGCCGAGGTGCCAGATGGGACTTCTTTCCCCCTTTCTGCCAGGCCCCCTCGTGTCTCGGCTGCAGACTGCGCTTGTGTGCCTTCGTGATGCCCACCTTGGCTCCTCTCGCAGCTGCCCTTCTCTCAGCTTCCAGATCTCAGCTCAACTTTTCTGAGGCCCTCATCTGAAGAATTCTTCCATCTTCTCCTTCTGTTTCCTTCCCAGCTTGTCCTTGCCCTTGCCTTGTGTGACTTGCTTGTTGGCTCCTTGCGTAACATCTGTGTTCCTTCTTGACCAAGATCCAAGTCAGAGGGTGGCTTTCTTCTGCAGCCCTGACCTCTGTGTGTGGGATGGAGCCCACACCAGGGGCTCAAACAGTGAGCCGTGAGCTGCTGGTGTGCACCTCTGTCTCCAGCAGCCATCTCCAGACCCTGGACAGGTGGTCTGGGACATGACCTGGGTTTGGGAAATGACGCCCAGTGAACTCTAATTCGCAGAGATGTTCGGAGACCTTCCATGGCACGGCAGTCCTGGGACCTGATGAGTGGTTCTGGACCCACAGTGTCAGCATCTGGGAGGAGTGTAGGAAATGCAAAACATTGGCCCCTCTCCAGGCCTAAAGACTCCAAGTTTACATTTTATCAAGAAGCCCATGGGAGCCAAATGGGAATTAAAGCTTGGAAAGGCTGCCCACAGAGCCCCTTGCCTACTAGTGTGTGCAGGGCAGTAATGGTGCCCACAGTCAGTGTGTTGGAGAGGGTTATCTTCAAAGATGCCAAATGAGACAGTGTATCAGCTGCCTTTGGGACCATGAGGGGAGGGGGGACTCTGCTGGGTGAAGTGGGAGATTCTGCACAGAGCAGGCATCGTGCCCAGTGCTGGACAGCATGTCTGTGTCTGGGCCAGGGCCCAGCAGTGTGGGAGTCCTAGGGCTCCCATATGCATGGTATAGGACATGCCCGCTGCTCTTCGCAGGCCTCTCAGCAAGTGCTGCGCTGGACTCTGGGCTACAGCTGTCTCATCTCTCTGTCTCAGTGCGGCCTGGAATGCAGCATCTTTTCCTGGTGTCCTATAGGGAGAAGAAGCTCTGCCTGGGGGGAGGCTGGGGTAGGAGGTCTCTGAAGGCCCAGGGCCCTCCCATGGCACAGCCAGTGTGACAAGAGCAGATCCAGCGGCTTGAGCCACAGTGGGCAGAAGCACCAGCAGGAGCACTGTCTGATGTCCACAGGCTGGGGCTGGCTTTGCCTCTGCTGTGTGACTAGTGAGTCTCCAGTGATTACAGGGGATGTCCCAGGTCTGGGATGGAGGGGAGCAGCAGGACCAGAGTTATGACTTGGTGGTGACAGGTGGAGGGTGCCCAACAAGAAGGGTAGGCATAGAGGTCTCCCTGATGTGCAGGGTCTTGGGCTAGTTCATACAGTCTTGAGGTCACATCTACAAACACAGGCAAACATGTTCACACACATAAATGCACAGGCACATGTGGGCATGCAAACATGCACACACACACACACACACACACACACACACACACATACACACACACACACACACTCACATTGACCAGCCAGGAGACAGGTGCAGAGGGAGTTGGGAAGCCTGTTACTTTGGTGAGGGAAAGCTGACTCAGTGCTCAGGGACTCTGTGGTCCTGACTTGGGAGGGCAGCTACTGCCCAAGCCCTTCTCAGCTGTCTGTTGAGTCTGGGAGGACAGGTGCCCAGGCCCAGGTGAGTGGGTGGGGTGGGGGTGGGGCAGCTATCAGGGAACATTCCTGAAGAAGTCTGCCAACCACTCACTGCACTAGTACCCAGTGGGAGAAGAGGTGCGGAGCTTCCTTTAGCAGGGTTCTTTGTCTGCTGCTCACAGAGACTCCGGGGGGGTGGGGCTTACTGCAGACTACTTGACACACACTCTAAACTTCCCCTGCTGCCACTCTTGGGTGACTTCCAGCAGTTCCCAGCAGGGACTGGTGCCCACCCAGGTTGCCTGCCCACCCCTCCCGTGGAGCTGTGACTTTCCTGTCTGGTCTCTTTTAGCAAGTGGTTCCTAAATCCAGGAGATACTTTTATGTGCATTTTTAAATATACTAATCTTTCAAAGAAACCTTCAAAAAATGGAATGAAAAATAAAAATTTTGCTTGTCCCAACCTCTGCCAAATCCTCACACGCAGCTGCCTGTGTCCCCTCCCTGAGGGTTACATGGAGTCTGTGATGCTCCAGTTCCTGTGCTCTCCAACCCTGTTGTGTAGGCAGCAAGTGCTGGCCCCCACCAAGGCCCTCTGTGTCCGGGGCCTCTCCTTCCTGAGGCCCACATGGCAGAGTGGCTAGGGCACTGAGCACAGGTACTGTGACCTACGCGGGCTCTGGGCTTCACCCACATGCTGAGAGACCACGTCGTAGGCTCCCTGGCTGCCAGTATTGGGCACTGGTTGGGAAGCATGGCAGAGGTTCATCCAGGCTGGGCTTGAGCCCCATTCAGGACTCTGCGAGGGAGCCCCCTGCTCACCCTCCTCTGTACCCTTGCCTGGCATCTCAGTCACTGGATTATTTCTCCAACTTCCTAGGACTAGAAGCCCTACTGATCCTGCAGGTGAAGGGGACATTTCCTGTTTCCAGACTTGAGGTGTTTTCTTTCCCTCGCTCCTGGGCCTCCCACCATAAACCTGTGCTTGCAGCCCATCCCCCGTGGAGCCAGTGCTCTGCCTGTCCCGTCCCTGTGACTGCATTTCCTCCCAGGCCTGCCCTGCTCTGCCCTTCCGGCACCTCACTCCTGAGCACCCACTAATTAAAGCCAACACCCTGCAGGTGACCCAGCCACAAGGAGGGTAAAGGCCTTGAAGACAACACTACCAAGTACCCAGCAGGAAGTCAGAGACTCAAGCTTCCCGAGCCCTCTCTCTTTTGTGAGACTTGCTAAGCTGGGTGGATTGAGTTATCTGCTAATTAATTATTAGAATGGGAGGCAGATAGTGTAGCAATTATGGACATGGACTGAAATCCTGCGCCGCCATTTGTTTGTGTTGGAGCTTTAGACAAGCTGCTCAGCAGCTCTATGCTCAGGGCTGGGGCCATGACAGTGACCTACAGGAAAGGTCTTGTTCTCAATGTGCCAGTCATCTAGGAAATGCAATCACAAAGAGCATTAGATACATACACAAGGAGCCGGGGAGATGGCTCAGTGAAATAAGCGCTTCCCTGGCAAGCGCAAGGGCCTGAGTTCAATCCCCGGTTCTGAAAAA